AGAGAGAGAGAGAGAGAGAGAGAGAGAGAGAGAGAGAGAGAGAGAGAGAGACTGCTAAAGCGCTGGTCCAGGAAATGCAACAGCTTATTCCAGGAGGCCTTGTGAGAGGAGAGGACGCTGGGCAGCAGCATGATACTACATAGTGTTTACAAACAGGTGGCCGGAAGTTAATGGAGACAATGTACAATTTCTCACCCAATAGAAGATAACCACTTTGCTGCCACATAAATGACCAAGGTTTTTTGGGGGGGTTTTGTCAATACTAAGCCTGAAATTATTTAATCAAGAATGTAAATCAGTTATATGCCCCAGTTATAAAAATGATGATGAGATTGGCTATGGTATTGATTTTCTTTGACAAAGAAACTCATTTTTCTCGCTCTCGCTCGCTGTCACTCTTGCTCTCGCTCACTCCCTCTCTCTTTCCCAGAGCAATGTCACAGCCCTGTTCCAGGCAGGCAAGCAGCATTCCATCCTGCTTGTCAGGCACTGTGGTCATTTGGCTTCGCCAAGAATGAGAGCTCTCAGCAGTGCCATTCCATGAATGTGTGAGGGAGCCCCTAAAATAATGGATGGTGCACTTTCCTATATGTATTTACGTTTAGAAAATTTATTTAAATAATGTTGCTGGCACATGCTTTATAGCTGTTTGCATTTTGCCACACAGATTTCAGCGTATCTTGCCGACTATGCAATTCATTTGGAAAATGTAATTTCCATCCCCGCATACTAATCGATTTCTTCACAAACACCTGCTATCAGTTATGATAATAAAAATGCCACTCTGAATTGGAAAGGGGCCAAATAGAGCTTCCTAAGGAAATGACTTAAGTGTCTTTGAATGCTACTAAATGTAGTAATGTGCTTGTGTGGTGCCAACACTTTTTTCATCATTTGCATTTTCTGTGATTTTTGTCCCAGTACAACGTCCCTCTTTCAAATGATGCCTCCTAGCCATTTCCCTGTGGGTTGATGAATGGGAATGTCAGGAGTTGGCATCTTGGGGTGTGGGCAAGATTTGAAAAATCTTGTTGAAAAATACCAGCTCATGCCCTGGGTATCCTCTGGGTTACTTCCAATTTTATAAGTTCCTGAAAACTATAAAATTGGCTGCTCCTTGGTGCCTACACATATACACCGAATAAAATTTTCTTTATTTATTCTCTTCAGCCTCTAGTTCATTCCATACACCACTGCCAAACTGATCTTCCTCAGTCACCACTTCCACCATGCCCTTCCACTTCCCCAAGCACCTTCTGTGGTCCATGGCCGTCGCCCTGTTGAGCCTGCCCTCCCCCGTCCTTTCTCAGCCCCCAGCATGCTCACCTCTCCTTGCTTTCTGGAAAACATTTGCCTTGGGGTCAGGTTTCTCTCCTTCCTGCCCTGAATATTTCACCTACAGTTCTCATCTCTTGGCTTTTCCTTCTGGTCTTTGTCCTAGCCTAGGCATCCTTTCTTGGTTCTTGGGGTTTTCATCTTTCTAAGCACTCATGGTCTCTTCCAGTCTGTATTTTTGTCAGGCATAAGCTCCTACAGAATGTGTTCTTTTGTTGTGTATGTTAGTGCTATGTTGCTCATTTATTCATTCAGACATTTACAGAGTTCCTACTGTATACCAGGCATTATGTTCTATCTTCCTCTGAATCCATTAGTTTCCTTTTAAATTATGAATTTCTATAGATTTTTAAATCTTTTTTAATGAGAACATAAAACAAATTTTTTGCAACACATAAACCAGAAATTTCATACAAAAAAGAAACATAATAACACACTTTATTTTCAAAGAAATAAGAGAAGCTATTAGTATACATAAAACCTATTAGTACATATAATCTTGGTCCAGTGCTTGGGGCTTTGTGAGTATCCAGCTATGCAGCAGTGGGAGTGGGAGTGCTGGAGATGTGGAAACTACGCAAAAGAATGCCTGCCCCAGCCTTTGCCCTGTGCCATGCAGTCTTCTGTTTTAGGCAGCTCCTTCAGTCTCATAGTATTTTTAAATAACAATATGCAATTTGAGGAAATACTTGTTCTTAAGTTCCTTGAGAGAAAAGATGTGCTGCATGTCCTCATTTCGTGATCCATAGTGCCCAGGTAGGCCTGGTCCAGGGAGTACACAGTAAACGCTTGCAGAGTAATTGATCCCTCGTGGCTTGGAGCAGGGAATAGTCTGGCTAATTTCATGTTCTGTTTGATTAGTATTTCAGACTGTACTGTACATAGATTATCATTTTGCAAAGTGGAAAACTGTAAAACATTTAACTTAAAGATATTATCACCATAATTTGATGTTTGATATTTGTGGAGCAGTTTCCCTGAGCCCTGAGCACTTTGGCACGGATCTCAGTATACAGGTGAAGCATCAGAAAGCATAACCTCCCTCTGACCTGGCCATGGTGGGGAGGGGCAGGTGCTGAAATGAGCATTGCAAGGGCCTGATGCATATGCAGGAATTTTTGTTTTCACTTCTTTCTTGCTTACAAATTGGAGCATGATGGGGAAAATAAGAATGATGGGACCTCGGTGGGAGAGGACAGGAAAATGGGAGACTGGTTCTGAACAGGTTTGCAGGTTGCTTCTGCATCTTTGTGTGGTTGAACAAGTTATCTACATTCTCTGTGCCTGGTTTCTCTCATTTTTAAAGATGAATATTACAGCATCAGCTTCCTAAGCTTAATAGGAAGATTAAATGTATTAGTTTAGAAAATGCTCTTGGTCCAGTGCTTGGGGCTTTGTAAGTATCCAGCTATGCAGCAGTGGGAGTGGGAGTGCTGGAGATGTGGAAGCTACGCAAAAGGATGCCCGCCCCAGCCTTTGCCCTATGCCATGCGGTCTTCTGTTTTAGTCAGCTCCTTCAGTCTCATAAGGCTCTGTATGAGCTGTCCTGGTTTCCCAGAAAGATGGAGATGTAAATGAAGACTGATCTATCTGGAGAGAATTTCAGGTTTCAGGGAGGAGGAATAGAGTAACCACTCAGCCTTGTAGGGAAAAAGAGTTTTAATTTGTTGGTGAAACAGATGGAATTGGGTTGCCATTCTGATAGGAGTTAGAGAAAACAATTTGTGCAATTTGTCCCAGCAATACAGCAGGAAGGAATGGTGTGCATATAAATTCCTCTCTCCCCTGGGAGGTTGCTGCTTGCCTCAACCTGTGGAACAGCTGATTATTTGAAAGAAAGTGTGGCACTCCAAGGAGCTAAACAATCCTGTGGTATAAGAGAGGACAATAATGTGGTTAAATCTGATTGTTGTCCGCAATTCTGAGTATGTTTATGCCCTAGCAACAAAGATCACTTTCAGAGAAGGTGCCTAGAGTTGGGGGAAAGGTCGGAAGATGAGAATCTGGAAGAAGTTAATCCTAGCTCAGCGGCAAGTGTTCATACATAAAGGATAACAAACAATAAAAGAGGGCTAGGGACAAGCCTCAGTGGTAGTACACTCATGTGGCAAGATTCCATCCCCAGCACGACAAATATAAAAAGTTGCAAGTGAATTAATGCTGTGCCAAATAAAGAACCCAGGCAGGGCATTTGGGTTTTACTTCTGAGTAATGTTGTAAATGGAGCTAAGAGATGCACCTTCCCACCAGATGCCTTCCTCATTCTGACCAGAAGGTCACTTACTTGGATTCACTCTGTTTGTCTTCAGCCCTGGCTGCTCAAGCCTACGCTCTCAAAGAGGAGAATGACAGTCTCCGTTGGCAACTGGATGCCTACAGGAATGAGGTGGAGTTACTAAAACAGGAAAAAGAACAGCTTTTCAGAACAGAAGAAAACCTCACCAAGGATCAGCAGCTCCAGTTCCTGCAACAAACTATGCAGGGCATGCAGCAGGTACTACCCGTGTGTGGAGATGGTGTGATGTGGGGGGTGCGGGTTTATTTTTACGATGGGGGGAGGCTATATTTACTTCTGAGAAAAAGAATGTGATCTGTACATTCACTGGAAGTGAAGTGGCAGCCATTTGCCAGAAAGGGTAAAGAAGAAATGAGCAAAACACTAAGTTCATGGGAAGGGAAAGTGCTTGTGACTCCAGAAGAGCAGAAACTGGAGAAAAGTCATGCTAAAGAGAAATGAAGAAATACACCCTGGAAACAGGAGATAAAGGGAGAGAATTTGGGAAGTTAAAAGCTTACGTATGAATCAGCCTTGTGTCACATGGTCAGTAAATCCTCACTCCTCATAGCACAAGTGTTTTATAATCATAAAACTTAAGTTTGAAGCATGACAGCTGACTTTTACAGAAGCAGCTTGTTTTGTTTTCAGGATCATGTAACTATAAATTATATTGTGTCCACTTGTGGACCACATGTAGTGTCTAGAGAGGTGTAAGAAGTGTTTGTTGATGGAATGAAGCCCAGATCAGGCCCCAGTAACCTCAGAAATGGGGCAGCCCCTGTGCTCACGTTGAGGAGTGCCAGGAGAGGGCCACAATGGTGAGCTGAATCTAGTGCTGTGTATGTACTGCAATTATTTAAAAAGGGTTGGAACGGTGAACTTTGGAACATCAAAGTGAACATCCAAGGGGATAAGGAGAGAGGAAGGCAGGGGATGGGCTTGTATCTGAATGCATCAGTTGATATATGACAGCCTTAAAGCACCTTGGCCTTTGATTTATCTTAGAATGGTAGACCATCATTGCCACACATCGGTACGGTATTCTTTAAATTACCCTTCTGAATATACAAGTCTCGCCAATATTTTATGGAAAAGATTGCTTTTGTTTAAACAAGAGCAATGTAAGTAGGATGCTGTGAATCTGAAATATTCAGACAAGAATTTTTTTTTTTAAATCTTGCCTATTCATCCTGGCTATTCTCTAAGACCTCCAAGAACATGAACTGCCTACAAAAACATTTTGTGATTAGAAGTAACACCACAGAAACATAAGCCAAACATGAAAAATAATTGAAAGGGAAGGATATAAAAAAGAAATCCCAAATTGGAAAGTGAGCAGCTTCATGGTTAGGTCACAGAAATTGTGTCTTAAACATCTCTTGCCATTTTAAAGCAATGTTTGATTCTTGGCTCTGAGTCTTAACGGGTTGATGTTCACAGTGTGTGTTAGACTAATCAGTGAGATTCAGAGGTCAGAGCCAGCCAGGAAAATGTCATTACAGGCACTTCTCAGGCCCTGCACTTGGAAACTGGTGGAACAGCTGCTGTACGAGGCTTCTGGGTTGTCCATATGTCCCAGTGTGGAGCATGAGGGAGCCTTTGCCAGGAGAGGCTGCAGTTTCTCCACAGAACATAACACCAGATATAGCCTGCTAGCTACCATCACCCTCAGGCACCAGGCTGCCTTTTCTGTCCGGAAAAGATTACTCCAGGTGGTTAAGAGTAGATAAAATATTTAAAGCTCATGAAAGTGCAAATCTACAAGAAGTTGGAGGAAGCCAATACACACAGTTGGGTTGGGGAGAGGCACCCTGGGGCATCAGCACAGGGGAGGTGTTCGGTCACACCTGGTCCCTAAGGGGCAACATTAAGAGAACACAGCCTCTTGAAGAAGCTGTCCTGTTGATGGGGCATCTTTACTTACTGAACCTCCTTGTCAGTATCAAATGTACTTTCAGATAGTTTTTGCTTGTTTTTATGTTATCATTTGATTTGGATTCAAAAAGTGGAAAATTCCTGGCCAGCCAGATAGCTCAGCAGATTAAAACTCCTGCTTAGGCAGATGCAGGGGCTGGAGGTTCGATCCCCAGCCTGCAGTGCCAGCCCCACTTCTGGGACATGCTGAGAGGGCGACTGAGACTGGGCATGGTGGTGCACTCCTATAATCCCAGTGCTTGGGAGGCTGAAAAACAGAAGGATCACTATGAGTCTGATCTGTGTGGTAAGACCCTGTAAACCCTGTACCAAATACATTTTTTTAAAAAGTGGAAATTTATTTTCTCACAATTCTGAAAACAAGGTTTTGCCACAGCTGGTTCCTTTGGAGGCTATAAGAAAGATCCTGGTCTGTGCCTCATTCTCAGATTCTGGTAGATTTCAATCAACCTTTGGCCTTCCTTCAGTCATATCTCATTCCTCTCTGTTCTCATTTTCACAGATCATTTTCTCTGAGTATGTATGTTCAAATACTTGCTTATATAAGAACATTGCTCCTATAGGATTAGGGGCCCACCCTACTCCAATATGACCTCATTTAGCTAATTTTAACTGCAATGATCTTTTTTTTTTTTCTTCAAATAATGTCATGTTCTATCATTCAGAGGAATAAGACTTCAGTATATCAATTTGAGGAAAACAGAATGATCCTTAACAGAAACATGGTAATCAAACATTGATTTACTAAAGGGGAAAATGAGGACCAAAAGTGTAGAGAAAGACCTAATATGTGCCCTGTAGGTGCTCTTGATTATGTGGGATCCTTCCATCAAGAAGAGCAAGGTAGGCAGTCATGAGAACCGACACTCGGGATGTATACTGGGCCCCCTTAGGACATCAAGGCACTCAGTTTGAAAGAAGAGTAAAAATAAAAAGGTTTAATAACCTTAAAATAGGAATATGTTGTAGTTTGAATTTTTACTGATTATTAGGTCAATAAATGATATCTTTGTGGCAATACATCTTGAATATAGCTTTAAACTGTGTTACTTAAGAGTTATATTTCTTCTATGTCTGTTTTGTTAAAAAAAAAAAAAATTGCCACAACTTGCTTATTTGACTCATACCACCAGGAATTCTCCTGATTTTCAAACATACTCTCAATCTATTCCATGTCCACTTATGCAACCATGATGTGACAACTGCAGAGAAAAGGGGGTCCCCTGATGTCAGCTTTCTATCACTGTAAAAAAAAAAAAAAAAGTCTGTTTATGTACACAAGTAAGGAGTAAAGATTAGTTTCTCTCTGACTTCGGGGATTTCAGCACATTGTTGCTTGGCTCTGTTGCTTTGGGGCCTGTGGTGAGACACAGCATCATGGTGCAGAGCACATGGTGGAGCAGAGCTGCTCACCTCGTGACAGCCAGGAAGCAGAGAGGAAGAGGCTGGGGGTCCCAGTATCTCCTTGAAGGGTGCACCCCAGTGGCCTCACTACCTCTAACTTGTGCCACCTCTTACAGCAGTGGTAGTGAACCTCTGGCTTAAAGGTTATCCCTGGAAGCTCTAAAAGGTTCTTCACAGCTGTCTTAGAGGTTCTACCACCTTCTGGTAGTGCCACCAGCTGGCTATCAAGCTTTCAGCATATGGGCCGTTGAGGACATTTAAGATTCAAACCTTAACATCCTCATAGGTTATTGTTCACGCCATCTACATGTGAAAAACTTACTTCTGTAGCAAAATAATGAGTCATAATGACTTTAAAAGGAGCAACTTTTAGAATTTCCTTCTAGTTTAGTAAAGAACTTTCTAACCTTTATTTAAGGATATGTTTATTGACCTCACACCATTTCTCACATGTTCATGAAGAAAACATTATGGGAAAGGCTTTTAAAAATAAAACTCTTTCGGTGACTTTGTCTGGATGTTTCTAAGTTTGCCTGTGCCCTGCATCTGAGACGTAATTTATAATGTTAGCAGTTTCATACAGAAGCATGGTAACATGGTAGCCTTTACCACACTGTGAGATGATGTCTTAGTTACTTTTCTTGTTGCTGAGACCAAATACCAAACAACCAAGGTTAAAGAGGAAAGGTTGACTTTGGCTCACAGTTCATAGAGTTTGGTCTGTGGTTGACTGGCTCCAAGACAGGATGGCGTGGCAGAGGGGCATCGCAAAGCGGCAGGAGGCAGCAAGCCATAAACAGCAGAAACAGCAGCAGAAGTAGCTGGCAAAAAGTGACAATAGCGGGGTTTTTCTGTTCTATTTAGGTTATCAGCCCTTAGGACAGGTAGCACTCATGCCAGAGCTGTGCCACGCCAGTCAGGGGCTGATTTAGCAGTTACTCACCTTTAATCCTAGCATCACATCCTTCATCTCAGCATCACCTGCCCTAGGCCCAGCCACCTGCAAAGATCCCCACCTTTGTCTTTTGTGGAGTTGACTAGATACAAGCCATAACAGATCTGAATGAAACTAACCTCTGTCCAGAGTTTAGTTCCATTATTTTACTTTCATTTGTCTCTTTAGGTATACAAATAAGCAATAAATGTATTTTAAGCTCTTCTTTATCTTC